TGGATCAATAATCTAAATATTGAACAGTTGAGAAATATGCATTACTGAATGATTGAAATAGGAAAAATAGTTATTGATTCTCCAGCAATTCAGTTTTCCAGAGGAGAGCCACAGAACCTTTGTATGCAGCTCTTGGGGCTTTATTGTTGCTACATCCATTGAATATAAAACTGTTGCACTGCAGGTGAATTTTTGTTTTGCTGTCCTTGATTTGCTATCCCTTCGAGTAAGTGGGTCTTGGCTGAAAAAGGCCTGGAGGGGGGTTCTGTGAGTTAGCTCATGCCATAGACTGGTTAATGTTGCTGTGAAGGTGGGTGAAGCGTATGACCTGGAACGTGAATGTTACTGAGAATTTCTGGGTAGCTGGAGAGTTAAATCGCTCTGATTTTTTGAGGGTGGTGTGCACTGCTCCCCTGGATGTACTGAAACAAACTGCTGCTGTGATACTCATTCCTAACCCTCACCTACTCTTTCTGGAGCTGCCACTCATACGTACATGTTAAGAACTTTGCAATAGGTGATGTTGAACCTAAAGCCTGCTAGTAACAGATGTTTTGTGAATTTTATTAATAAATCTAAATGCAAGGGAAAAACATTTTTTTGGCAAAAACAGACTTGGCCTTTTTGTTTTGTTTATATAACCAAAAACCCAAGAGCAATTCCAGCTTTCTGAGCACCTCTGAAATTACCTAAGGTGCTCCTTTAGCAATTCCCAGCTTTTTTAAGAAGCTTTAAACTTGATTTCCTAAGATCACGTAACCACATGATCAGTTTGTTTCTGCATCCCCTTCCCTGCAATCAGGCTGAGCCTGAGGACTGGTATTGAGAAGATGCTGGTCACTTTTCCTTGTCCACCACAAAACCATCCTTCACTTTCACCCTATTCCTGCTTGCTGGACTCCTGTGAATTGATGAGCTGCTGAGCAACAAGGGATGCCATCCTTTGCTGTTGTAGGTTATATTTAAGAGGTGGTGAGATCTTCTGTAAGTCTGGGAAAGTCTGAATTGTCACTAGACAGCTCAAAGGTGAAAGCAGCAGCATCTTGAAGCAAGCAGTTCTTGAGCATTTTGGAAAAGCACAGTTTAAAAATTCAGGCTTGTGGCCAGAGACCTCAGCAGCAGTGGCAGATCTTAGCTGCCCTTTTTGCCTTCTGAGATCATTTTAAAAAAAATGTGTCTATATAATAAAACATGGCCTGCCAGCAAACATTTGAATTCAAAAGCTGCAGCAGCACAATTCTGTCATGCTTAGCTTCTGCAGTGACATTGAACTAGACGAGAATTGCTTCAGAGTATTTAATTTGTTATAGTGTATATATACATGTTCTTTCCCGTTATCTCATATATATTTCAATTAAAACTTGAATGCAGGAAAAAAAAAATAAAGCAGTAAGCTGTTGCTGCCCAGGGGTTAGGCATTGGGCTTTTAGCTGTGGAATTGTCATTTCCAAATTGAAATTGTTCTAAGTGAGTTTTCTGGTCAGGCTAGAAACTGTAAAGCTGAGAAAAAGTGCTAGATGATGATTATAATGCTTATATTTGTGGAGGAAAAGGAGAAGCAAATACCCCCATGCATTGCTGGTTAGCAGTGGGATGTGCTTCGTGACCTTCTAGGGATGCTGAGGGCAGGAGCCAGCAGTGGGATGCTGGATGAGCCTGCGGGCTCTTACACAGTTTGGCAAGTGTTTGATTCCCTCACTGCCCACTCTGTTTTCCTTACCTTCAGCTGCCTCTTAGGACTAATTAATTTTATAAGCATTCCAGAGCACCTTGCCATAGCACTTCAGACCTGCTGGCCTGCCCAAGATGCTGCCTGTAGCAGGCAATTCCAGCTCATCAAACTCCACCAAGCAAGGAAGCTGCCGGGGTACCTGGGAGTTGTATTTTTCTCATTTAGCTTCATTTTGGGGCTCTCCACTTCCTCAGCAGATGGCATTTTTATCATGTTTTCTGAAAGTCCATATGGCCTATGAGAGAGACACTCTCTTTAATGGTAAAACATGACCACCTGTTCTGGTTTTAATGAATGCACTGAGCATTCTTCTTCATAGAGCTATTTAAAAATAGCTGCTTCAATTGAATTAAAAAAAAAAAAAACACACAACCTCAATTCGGTACCAACACTTTGGCTGCTGAAATAATCAATTAATAATTAAGTGGCTAATTTTAGAACCCCCTGGCCTTGCCCATTCCCTCACGCTCGCTGTGATCAGAGCAGACAGTGATTGATTGCCCTCCTGACGGCGAGAGGCACATGCCGTGCTGGGGCCAGATGCCGGCAGGCTTTGAGCTGTTTATTGGGATATTTAGAAGGTGAATGCAACTTCACATCTCTGCTCTGCAAATGGACTTGTCTTGCCTGCTATGGCTCCTTCTCCTTGCTCCAGCTGCTCACACACAGCCATCCTCAGGTACCCCTTTCCCTGCCACCCTCTGAAAGATAAAATCTGGTGCTCAAAAGGTATCCTACTGATGGGCCAGATGGAGAGGAGGTTGAAACTGTAAGCAAAAATAGAACTGAAAGGCTTATCAACTAACTGGATCCTAATAGAAAGCCCTGCTAGTGTCATCTGCTTGTTAAAAGAACAATTTCCAGTTAACTGTTTTGTAGCTCCTGCAGCAGATACTCCAGCCAGATGAGAGAATGTGGAGTTTTTTGGCTCAGGTCTTCCAAGAGGTAAAGGGACCAGGATGCCCATATCTTGTTAAAGGAGTGTTAATGCTTAATGCAAAGTACCTTTGAAAATTAATCCTTGTATTTGGGTTAATTCCTCCTAGCAAAGTGACTGTTCCCCTGTACTTGGCACTAGTGAGACCACACCTCAAATACTAGGTTCAGTTCTTGGCCCCTCATTCAAAGAAGGACATTGAGGGGCTGGAGTGTGTTCAGAGCAGGGCAGTGAAGCTGGTGAAGGGTCTAGGGCACAAGTCTTGTGAGGAACAGCTGAGGGAACTGAGGTTCTTGAACCTGGAGCAAAGGAGGCTCAGGGGAGACCTTCTTGCTCTCAACAGTTCCCTGAATGGAGGCTGGAGCAAGGTTGGGGTCAGTTTCTTCTCCCAAGAAACAAGTGGTAAGACAAGAGGAAACAGCCTCAAGTTGCACCAGGGGAGGTTTAGGTTGGACGTGAGGAAAAATGTCTTTCCTGAAGGAGCTGTCAAGCCCTGGCCCAGGCTGCCCAAGGCAGTGTGTGGAGTCCCCATCCCTGGAGGGATTGAAAAGCCGTGTAGGTGTGGTGCTGAGGGACGTGGTTTAGTGGTGACCTGGCAGTGCTGGGTTAATGGTTGGACTTGATGATCTTAAAGGTCTCTTCCGACCAAAATGATTCTATAACTGAATAAGCCTGTTGCAACATCATCTTGTTCTCAAGATAATGAAAATAGCCAAATATTAGGAACACACTGGAGTTTTGGTCTGTAAGTGTTGGCGCTTCAGAGAGTTAATATTTCAAAGACAGAAGAAACAGGAGCATTTGAAAGAGTGCTTAGGGATACAGCACTTCCAGCATTTCAGTGTTAGGAGTAATGGGTGCAATAGCTCCTGGATTTCAACACAACGAGGTAAATCAACAATTTGGTGTAAGTGGTGGAAAAAACTTCATGTGGCTGCTTAGAGCATCTGCTTTTAGGAGGGAGAGCCAGAAACCTTACTGGAGAAGTCTCTGAACCCATCACCTTATCTTGTGAAGAGAGCAAGATGCTGGCAGGGGTTGGAGGAGAAGGCAACCTGGCTGCTTGCCTTGTTTTGCTGAAGATGTTTCTGACACAGCCCCCAGTTAGCCTGTTAGCTGGGGAGAAGCTCCCATCACTGGGCTGATGGCAGTTGCTGTAGCCTGATCGATGTAAATCCACTTATCTCTCAAACCACATGGGATTTGGAGACAGCTGGGTGGTGTTCGTATGGCTGAGAGCCCTGCTGTGAAATGCTTTGCAAATACAAAAATAACTGTAGCTATTGCCATTTAAATTCATTTCTAAGTCATCTTTGTGATAAACTTCCATTGGTGAGGCATTCTTTCAGTGGGAGGAGGGTCAGAGCAGTTTTCAGCTGACATTTGGGTATGGCAAGTTGCTTGGTGAGAAAGTGTCCAGCTCTGTTTCCCTGTGTGTGTGGCCTTCTCTCCCTGTGCTTCCAGAATAGCAGGGGATAATTAAATGAGCTTAGCATCAAAGGCTGAAAGTCAGGAAGGGAGAAGCTTATTGACCTTGTTGAGCTGGAAAGTGGGCTGAGGGTGTTTGGGGCTTGAGTCTCGTAGGGTTTCCTTATTTTTCTCTCTTCTTGGGAATTGAGATTTAGTTGTGCAGGAAATAATATGTATTACTAATTTTGTTGCAGTCCCTTTTATGTGATTGTAACATGGTGGCACATCTGTGAATTAAATCTTAAGAAGAACTGGAATTGTCTGTTCTCATTAGCAGAAATGCTAATTCTCTCTCGATTGGTAATAAAATCAAAGAGAAGAAGTAAAAACCCAAAAGTATGGAGGTTACCCATTTAGACTAAGCATGAGAAATTTAATCCCTGTTTTCCACAGTCCAATTTAAGTAGCGGACAGGCTGAGTTTTAGCCTTGATTTCTCCAACAGTTTTCCAAGACCAAGGAGAATGGGGTGCAGAGGATTAGGAATGTCAATTGGGGTGACTGGGCAGGGAGCTGAGAAGGCAGACAGGAGAGGCAAGAGTCCTTTTAGCTGCTGGCTTGTTCGTGGGCCAGATGGATTTGTGGCAGGACACGTGTGTGTGCACATTCATGTGGATGAATCTTTTTTCCCCTCTCTGCGTCTTTGAGAGGCTGCTTCAAACCTTCCTGACTGAGTTTTGAGGCCATTTTAAAAAGCCTGCTTAAAGATTCCTTTGCTGTAGTGCAGACTGTTTACCCTAGACGAGGCTTTAAGTGGGATGTGGAAGCTGCAGGCAGGGCTTTTATTGCGAGCTGACTGTTAGAGGTCCCGTACATCCTTCCCAGCTGATTAAACGTTGCCCCTTTTCTTTCTCATCTCCAGATCACTGTGTTCACTACTACGATCTTCGCAACACTAAGCAGCCGATCATGGTGTTCAAAGGGCATCGCAAGGCAGTCTCCTACGCAAAGTTTGTGAGCGGGGAAGAAATCGTCTCTGCGTAAGTACTGCCTTTCAGGGAGGCCAGAAGCCGGGCAGCCCTCGCTCTCCGCAGCTCTTCAGGGCCGCCGTGCGAGTTCACCAGCGTGGGTGGGCGCGCTCGCTGGCTGCTGTGCTTTTGGGAAGCAGAGAGCTGCTTTTTTTTTTTCTAAGATGAAAACAGAAATTCGTTCCTGGTGTCATTTGGCTCTGCTCTGTCTTGTGGAGCTAAAATGCTTAAGAGGGATACAAAGACAACTAGATGCAGCTCCTGACTGCAAGCCCCGGCTTGGTGAACTCTCCTTTTTCAAAGTGCTGGTTGTGCTGAGGGTGCTCCTGAGCAGAGCTCTGCTGTAGAGAAGGCTGCTGGCAGAGCCATGAGGACAGTAATCTGCAGTAAAGCCCAGATGATGAGTGACAGAAGGGATCAAATGGTACTGTGGTGTCTGAAGAGGGGTTTTAGCCACAGCCTGAAAGCAGCTTGAGGACTGACTGATCTGTTCTCTGGTAATTCATTAACCTGTGAATGCCCTTTTTAGGGTTATACTTGAGTTAGAAGGTAGACAAGGAGAAGTTGTTTTGTGGTCCTAATCGTGTGCAGGTTTTTGCCCAGGGTAGACCAGAAGGTTTTCTCTAGAGACCCTGAAGAATAGTATTCTACAGGCTATTTTCAGTTATATGGCCAGGTGTGTCTACCCCAAAGCTGGATGTGGCTGCCTTGGTTGTAGGTAGGTTTTTAATCCATGTGGGAACGAGCATGCCTGTCAGATCCCATAGGGAAAGCTTTGAATGATGGGCTGTGTGAGCCTCTTTGATAAATCAAAGGTGAGCCCCTCTTACACAGTGGGGGAAATCCAAGCAGCCTTGGGGGGCTGCAGGGGAAGCTTTGATCTCAGCACACTCGTGTATAACACCCAAGGGCAGCAGGGGTGGATCTCAGGGGTAGGTCTGGTCCCAGAAAGTATGCCTGCTGCCTTGTACTCCTCTCTTCTTATTTTCATTAACATTATAACTCTGTAAGGGTACAAACTCATACCTAGAGCACAAAGAAAATTACGTTTAATGCTTTGGACAAAATCTGGGTAAGAAGGTGTTTAACAAAAGGAGGAGGAGGATGGGAATTTTCTACAGCCATGATCAAGAGGAGCATTATCTGTGGGATGTTTCAGGACAGAATGACCCTGTCCTGCATGATCTAACTGTCTGAAAATCATAGAATGGTTTAGTTGAGAAGGGACCTTAAAGATCGTCTAGTTCTAACCCCCCTGACAGGGGCAGGGACACCTCCCACTAGATCAGGTTACTCAAAGCCCCATCCAACCTGGCCTTGAATACATCTAGTGATGGAACATCCACAACGTCCCTGGACGGACTGTTCTAGTGTCTCATACCCTCACAGTGAAAAACTTTCTTAATGTTTATTCTAAACATGCCTTCTTCCAGTTGGAAGCGATTACCCCTCGTCCTATTACTGTGAGCCCTTGTGAAAAGTCCCTCCTCAGCTTTCTTATAGGCCCAGGGGGAACTTGTAAAATCTTACCCCATAGTCCTGGGAGGAATTTCAATAGAGCTGTCAGACTTGGACAGGCAACAACAGGATGAGGGGTCTCACTGGAGGGTTCACCTATCTTTCTGTGCATGAGCAGAGAGAAATGTCAGTGAGCAGATTGCTCTTCATATCTTTCTTTTGCAAATTGAAGAGAGGGGACAGCAGAATTGATTCCCAAAAATCAAGCACTGATTTATTTTAAGAAAAAAAATTGTGTATATTCAGATTCTCTAGATTTCTAACTAAAGCTGTTTTATAGATTGCACCGATTTACTTTGTCTTGTAGAGTTAGGTTTTGACCTCAAGGGTGTTCTGAACTGCCTGGTATTTAGCACAACATATTGATTGCAGTGCTGATTTGCAGAGAGACAGCTTTAACAGGACAGTGTATCCATGATGACTTTCTTTGGAGAGGGTATGAAACCAGAAGAGCAGTGTAACACCAATGGGATCACTCCAGTAGCAGATATCTTCCTTCTTTTATGGCCTGTGTATCCCAAGAAATACAAACATGGCTAGAGCTTGGTGGGAATTAAACAGTAAAACCATTCTATTAGTAACAGACTTCAAGTGGTTTTATTTTAATGAGGAGATCTAGAATGCATGCTACTAAAATATGGAGGTTAAGTGCCTATACATATGAGGTCACTTCAATGGGTTAGCTAATAGCAGAAGCCGTCATGGGAATCTGACAGCTGGTAGACCAGGGATTAGTCTTTGGCTGCTTTACCCTGTCTTCAGAAAAGTTGAGTTTCCAGGCAACTCTGAACCTTTGAAAAGCAGCATTTTAAAAACACAACTGCCCTGATAACACAGAGGGCACCGCCCTGTACTTGTTGGCCAAAAAAGCTATAGTCTATGCCTTTTTGTCCTTTATGAGCAATGTGATAATAAGAACTAGAGAAAGGAAGAGAGAGTGTAGGGCAGGGACGGATGTGGAACAAGTGTCAGACAGAGAAGCTGAATACTCAGGTTTAGGCCCCCCCCAGTCAAGATCTGGGATGAGGAGTGCACTCCTGCTTAAGCCACAGTACTGCCCATCGAGTTCATACCTTGGTTCTGATCTGACCTCATACTATTATTACAAATGACTAACAAATCTTGCTGCAGCTCCCTTATCGCTCCTTTGTCATTCCAGCTGTCATTGAGGACCGAGATAAGGTTTTTGCAGTGTAGCACGAGGTGCATCTCTCCCATTTCATGCTATATTTTTAGGTATATGTGACATTGGTGCAAGGCTAATGTCTTATGTCGTTGGTAGTGTTTGATGGATACTGAGTGGAGTTTTTTCCCTTCAGCTCTAAATATTCAGAAGGCAGCAAGGTTGGGTTATACAACCTGCATAAGGGAAGCATTGCCTGTCTCCCCTCCCTCCTACTCAGGAGGCTGAGAGGTCCTATTCTAACTTTTTTCTTTTTTTTTCAAATTTAAGCTCAGAATAGTACTAATTTCCTCAAGGGTGGCTTCATGGGGCTCTGGTCCTACCACATGACCACTTGTTCCTTTCTGTGGGGGCTATTGCTATAAGTCAGTGAGCTTTGCAACTGCTGAAGGATAGTGCCTGTAAATTGAGAAAGGCTCATATCCCCTCAGGTTGAGGGAAGAAATTAATCCTATATCTCCTGAAAATCTGGGATCTTCTGATTTCAGTTGAGCTCTTCTAGGCAGACCTCCACCTCCTTTCTTTTGCCAAAGGGAAAGTGTTTGCTCATAGTAAATAGAAAAATATTTTGAAGGCAGATGTGTTTTCATGTGGGGGAACAATGGAAAACATCAATTTTGATTTAATCCCAGCAGAGTTTGTATATTTCTAATAGTAATATTTAGCTTGACTGCCAAGGTGAAAAAAGTGGAAGTTTGAGATCTATACCCTTGCACTCTGAATTACACCTGAGAACCACATCAACGCGATGCTAATAGCAATTCTGAGCCCCCATCGGCTTTTCTGCGCGGCTGCTGAGTGTTGGGCAGGAGGAGGGGAACGTGCTTTCAGGGCAGCTGGAGAGGGAGGAGACTCAAGTCCTGTAAAGGCATGAATGAGAGTTGCAGCCAGCACGGAGAAGGGAACAGGTTTTGTCTGTGCTCTGGAGATTTAAAAAAAAAAAAAAAATCCATTGTGGTGAGGATCTGGAGGAGGCAGTGATGGCTCAAAAGCCGTACGGTTCGGTGGAGGACTCTGCAATTGATAGCAGAAAGGAAGAGCAATACTTCAGGGAAGGGTTTTTCTCTATTCAAACATATAATGCATTATGACAGGCTTCTGAAATGACTTGATACCTTTCTGAGCTCAAGCTGAGTTGCATATGATTGAAAGTGGGATAGATCTCCTGGAGCTCACTGAGACTTTCTACATTTACATTGCAAGTAGGGTGTTAAGGAGCAGGGTTGCAAGCAAGGAGTTCCTGCCATATGACAGCAGGGTAACTTCAGGTGTTGTTTTCAGGTCAACAGACAGTCAGCTGAAGCTTTGGAACGTAGGGAAGCCTCACTGCTTGCGCTCCTTCAAGGGACATATCAATGAGAAGAATTTTGTAGGGCTTGCATCCAACGGAGACTACATTGCCTGTGGTGAGTAGAGCAGCCATCCTGACAAATGCTAATGGGGCTCCTCAGAGCTGATACCTCTCCAGTTGCAAAGCACACCAGCTTCTGTGCTGCATAGCTGCATGGGCTTTTTAACAGAGGATTGTTCTGAACTTCCACTTCCCTGGGAATGGCATAAGGGGCCCTGACCTGAGGGGGTCTGTTTTCCTCTTGTTACAGGTAAGTTCTTTGTATATGATGATTCAGACTTGCTGTCACCAAAAATCAGCTACTTATGTAGTTTTTGTTGATGTGGCTTAGGTCTTTCAAGTTTATCAACTGACATCCTCTTGCATCTTTCTAAGGAAGGGCAGTAGCCTGGACCACACAAGGGTCCTGTAGTTGTCACTTAGGGCATTCTGGGTGGTGAAGCAGTAACGCTCTTGCTGCAAACAGCTCCCTAGAAGACTGAATCATCTTCAAGCAGTTACTGCTTTGGTTATTTCTGTCCTTTCACTGCTTAAGTTGGCCTGTTGAACCTCTGTAAATCCACAGGTCTTCGTGTGAAAGCAGTGACAGGCTGATAGCTATGGGATGAGCAGGACAGCTGTGCCAGCACTGAAGGGAGGACTTTAGCTTGTGTATTCTCTGATCTCTGTACAGCTTGCAAGGCAGAAATCAGGATGGATTTCTAAATAAAGCCTGCACACTCTCTACTCTCTTACTTAAACCTCCACAGACCAAACTGTCATACTTGATTAAGGCAAGCAAAACGTGACAGTGCTGCCTGCTTTAGTCACACCGAGGAGGCTGGGAGTAGCCGTGTTCCGTGTGGCAGCATAGATGCTCTGCTCAGCGTGCTCTGCCCAAAGGAACTTCTGGGGAACAGTTTGAATCCTGTATGTTTTGGAAGTCGCTGCATACTGCAGTTGTAATAAAACATCGTCCTGTTATTAAGGGTCATGAAAGTTCTCTGTGGAGCACTCCCAGTTGCCAAGGTACCACAAGTGTGATGATAACTACAAGAAGGAAATGTCTGGTCTTAAACAATGAAAGAGCTAAGAAACCTTATTACCAGAACCTAATCTTGTATATTTAATTTTTTATTTCTAGGAAGTGAAAATAATTCCCTTTACCTATACTATAAGGGCCTCTCAAAGACACTGCTGACGTTCAAGTTTGATACAGTCAAAAGTGTCCTGGACAAGGACCGGAAAGAAGATGACACAAATGAGTTTGTGAGTGCTGTATGCTGGAGGGCACTACCAGATGGGGTAAGCTTACTTCTCAGGCACTGAGCTGGGTGCAAAAGGAAAGCCTCCTGCTTTCTCACAAAATGGCATTGCTGAGGGTTTGAGTCCACTTTGGTGTTTTCCCATTTATGGGCATTGCAGATCAGTGTGAGAACATGGCGATCTGCAGAGTGACTGGAGTGCTGGGGGATGCTAGGGGAGAAGGGGCTGCTGTGCTCTTAACTCTTCCACCTGGGTGTTTGAATTGCTTTACTTGACATCTGAAATCCTAGAAGCTGCTTTGTATTTCTAGCACTTAATGGGTTTTGTGGGTGCACTAGCAAGTTTTTTGTTGCTTTAATGAGGGTGCCTGTAGATACTCACCGTGGAGCCTTATCTCAATGTTATTGTCTGTATGGGCTTGCTCATTGAAATACAGCCCCCGTGTTTAGATAAGTAGATATGCGAAGGAGGTGAGGCCAGGCTGCAGTCACCTTAATGACTCTTCCAGTGACACTTAATTCATACAGGTAGAGCGTACTAAAGCTGCAGACAGGCCTGACCCAGCTTTTGCAGGAGCGGCCTTTCAGCACAGGGCTGCTCTGGAGAACAAAACACTGCTTTTAAATTCAGAGTGCTCTTGAAAACCTTACGTTAAAAAAAAAAACCCTTGAGCAAGTAACTCTTGTATGTGCAAGAGTTTGCAGATCAGATAATTAATGGGCTTCCTGGGAGGGGGAGGAAAGGATCTCATCCTAAATACAGTCTTCCAAGAAGCCAAAGTGGAGTGTTGCCTAATTGATGTCCTGAGGTGTAGCATTCACAAAGACAGCATTTTGGAAGGATGACGTCTACCAATCTGCTTCTGGATGAAGAAACTGCCCCCACAACTGTGATTCAGTTGTCATCGGAATAAATGCACTTCAAGGAGATGCTTTTGAATCAAAACAAAAATAAACCTGGGTCTCTGAAACGGCACTTTTAATTTCAAAGTAGAAAGTGGGCTGTTGTGGTTTGAATGGTGGCCGTGAGACTTGGTGACCTAGGGTCACTGACTTCTTTCTGGCAGGGACTCAGGAGGGTTTGGTATACACAGATGTCACGTCTCAGATGAAGAATGGCTGTTGGAAGTTGCATATTTCATCTTTCTGATGGATAAAAATGTGCCACGGGAACCTGTACATCCAGAAATGTCTTTCCCAGAATTGTCTTCACTACTGTTTCTGTCTTGGGTTGTCCTGCCCACTGATCTCCTGGGCAGCTTTTCTGCAAGCATCAGACTAACAGGGATGTCTCACCCCTGGTGTTGCTTCTCGTGCTGTCCGCTTCTTATGAGTCTTTTCTCTGATTAATGTGCTTTACTCTGACAGATCTGCTTAAGTGACTGAGAAACTTTTGAACAGTCACCAAGAGCTGTCAAGCCATTCCTTATAACCAGCATGAAAAAGATTGTACAAAAACATAATAGTTAAATTGGGCCCATCAAGACTGCACCAAATCATGTTCAGGCTTCACTCCATTAAGCAGCATTCAAAATATGTTGCTCTTCCAATCTTTTTTCCATCATTTGTCTGCTTTGCTCTGGGCTGCGCATAAATGAACTTGTTTCTCCCGTAGCAGCCATGGTGCCTGGCTCTTGTTTGTAAAGAAAGCAAAAAGCTGGCTGTGTTCTGAGAGCTGCTGGCTGAGTGGTTTGTTTCTGTGTGTTACCTCTGCCTGTGGTGCAGGCCATCCTGCTTCACATACTGAGCAAGCAGCCTCACTTGCTTTTGCAAAGAGGTCTTAATGCTACTTTGCACCATGTCTCCAGCCTCCCTGAGATGAGAAGTGCTCTTCACCAGTGTAGCTGCACATTTCTCTTCCCTCTTGTACTGGCGCAGCAGTCCTCTCCGACCTAATTGAGGTTTTGCTCATGTTCTTAGGAAATTAAATTACTGCATGGCCAAAGGTCACTTACATCCACAAAAGCTTGCTCAAATGATGAAGCTCTTCTATTCTCCGTTTTGATAATGTTTCTTAAATTTGGCATAAGACTTTTTCAAATTAGCTTTACGTAACTGGTGGATGAAAAGCTGGACATGACTGAGCAATGTGTGCTTGCAGCACAGAAGGCTGATGGCATCCTCGCCTGCATCCAAAGTAATGTGGCCAGCAGGTCGAGGGATGGTATTCTACCACTCTTCTCTGGTGAGGCCCCCCCACCCCCCCCTGCAGGGCTGGGTCCAGCTCTGGAGTCCTCGGCACAGGAGAGACAGGGACCTGTTGGAGTGGGTCCAGAGTTGAGGCCACAAAAATGATCTGAGGGCTGGAACCCTTCTGCTGTGAGGCCAGGCTGAGAGAGTTGGGGTTGTTCAGCCTGGAGAAGAGAAGGTTCTGGAGAGACCTTAGTGTGGCCTTCCAGTACTTAAATGGAGTCTGAGAAAGCTGGGGACATTCTTTTTAGCACAACCTGTTGCAACAGGACAAGGGGTGATAGTTTTAAGCTAAAAGGGGAGGTTTAGTCTAGATAGAAGACATTTTTATGCAGAAGGTGGTGAAACACTGGTCCAGATTGTCCTGAGAGCTGGTAGGAGTCCCATCCCTGGCAACGTTCCAGGTGAGGTTGGACAGGGCTTTGGGCAACCTGCTGTAGTTAAAGGTGTCCCTGCTCACTGCAAGGAGGTAGGACTAGATGATCTTTAAAGGTCCCTTCCAACTCCAACCATTTTCTACTTCTGTGATATATAAAGGCTTCCCTAAAAGCTGGTGTGCTTTTTGATGATGCTGAGATGAAGTAGAGAAGGCCTTTGCCTTGCAGTGCTGTCAGTATCTGTGGGAGTTGGGGAACCCACAACCAATTTCTGGCTTAATTGCAGACTTTGATCCTGGGTGAGTCACTCTGCCTTAGGTTCCTAATTAGGAGAGTTACCACATATACCTCTCGCCACGGGTGGTGATCATGCCTGCTCTGCTAAGGGAGCCTGCGTCAAAGCAGCTCCAGCTGTGCAGAGCCCAGCACGGGCTGGAAACCTGCCCCAGAGCTGCAGGGAGCACAGTGAGCAGGCTGTTCCCCATGCCATGCTGGGCAGGGTCAAAGCCATTTCCCTTGTCTCTGTGCCATGGTCACTGGGCAGGAGCTTTGGTTTGCTACCTGGAGTGTGCCTGAGCGGAGAGATGTAGGTACTTGTGTGCCAGCCCTTCTCCAGGGCTCCCTCGTGGAGCAGACTTTCCTGTTTCCCCATGTTGTTGCTCTCAAGGATTGTTCTTTAATTAACCTTTCAAGATGAGATGAGTAAGTTTCAGATCTGTCAGTTATCTTCGGAAGCATGAGTACATGTACTCCTTCACTTCATGCACTTAAGTGCAGAATCACAGATCCTAATTAAAACTTAACTAAAACTTTCAGATGAAATGTCATTGATTCTTTCGTAAATCTATTTTTATGTAATTCAAGCTTTTACTTCCTCCTGAGGCAAAGTCAAGCTGTGCCAGCAACCCTTGCCAGAACCCATCTGTGGGGGGTTTTTTCACTCTCTGCGTTGGTTTTCCATTGCTTATGAAGATGCCGGGACCTTTCTGCTAGAGCTGTCACCTTTCCAACCTCTGAGGTCCAACCAGTGCCACCTTTCCACCAGTGTCAAAGCTGTAACAAGGGAGAAAAATTGTTCTCTGTAAGTGCTTATTAGCATTTTACATCAAGCTTACTCACTTTTCAACTCTTAGGTAAAACGTTTAGAAATAAGCACAAGCTGGTAGGCCAAGAGTTTTGTTAAACTCAAAAAAAAAAAAAAAAAAACCACACAAACAAAAAACCCACACACACCAAGCAAACAAGATACCTCTCAGTATGTACATCAGGAAACAAACCCTTGGTTCTGTTGTTTGGACAAAGATAAATTAACAACAGGGGTTTGGCTTTTACAATC